CAACTTTTTGAGAAAGCTCCATACTGCCTTCCATAGTGGTTGCAACATTTTACACTCCCACCAACAGTGAATAAGGATTCCAGTTTCTCCACAGCCTCGCCAGCCTTTGTTACTTGCTGTTCTGTTAAATTTTGCTATTCTTACTGGAGTGAAATGAAATTGCATAGTTGTTTTGATTTGCATCTCTCTTAGAGCTAGGGATTTTGAACATTTCTACTTGTCTTTGTTGACCATCAGAATGTCTTCTTTGGTGAAGAGTCTGTTCATTCAGTTCTTAGTTGTTGTTGTTGTTGCATACCTTCAAGTTGGGACTGACCCATAGGTGACCCCTTCAGCAGGTTTCCAGTGGCAATTAATTGCACGGGAGGAGATTGTCCATTCTCCGCTGGAGTATCTGGTGGCCTCGAACCTCATGCCTTCCGGGATTGCAGCCCTACTTCTTGCTACTAAGCCACCACAGTTCTTAGTAGCTGAGTAAAAGTCTTTTGAACATGTGAAAAACTGAAGATTTCGAAATTTTGGCAAGTGGGCACCATTCCAATCTTGTCAGTATTTAGAAAGAAATTAAAACAAAATAATGGATCTAAAAAATTATAAAACGGTTAAAACTTTAGTCTTAGAATGTTATATATTGGAGCTGATTACTCCAATTTTAGTTTCCAATATTATCGGTCCTAGAATTTTAAAATATACATATAACAACGTCAAAAAATTCCATTTGAAAATAAACTGATACAGATATAATTTCCACAGAAATATATGCCATGGTGCTGTACAATATACATATACAGTGATTTTAAAGACATTTTGTACAATACTCAATCTCATTTTACTGATTATAAAGGAATAAAGAAATAAAAATAATCCCTTTGCAACAATATCTCTGTAATAATGAAGACATCATAAAACACAAGTGACTCCAGCATCTTCATTGTGTGAACACATCTTCACACCCCATTCTATGATTCTGCACTCTTCAATAGATGATTCTCTCCCAAAACAAAATACTTCATTCAGCCAAATTGGGCCAGTACCTGCAATAATCAGATAGAACTGCATTAATAAATATGATTCAGTGTTTCTGTGCTAATATGAGAAAAAATAACCAAAACATTAGTTTTATTCTTGCTGTTATGTGCTGCCAAGTCACTTGTGACTCATAGTGACCCTATGTACAAGAGCCCTAAACCCTGATCTATCTTGTGCCAAATCACTGTCTGGAATACACTTATTCCCATTACCCCAGTCACTGAATCTATCCATCTCATCAAGGGTTTTTCTTTCTTGTGCTGTCCCTCTACCCTCCCAAACATGATGTCCCTCTCCAAGGACTTGTCCCTCCTTTTAGCATGCTCAAACTACGTCAGACGAAGCTTCAGAATCCTTGCCTACCAGGAGCAGCCTGGTTTCACCCTCTCCATGACAAACCTATTTGTTTTCCTAGCAGTCTATGGTATATTAAACACTCTTATCCAGTACCACAGCTCAAAGGTATCAGTTCTCTATCATCCCTAGTCACTGTCTTGTTCTTCAATGCATAGCACACAATGTTTTACAAAATATATTAATAACAAAGCAAGTGCATGCTGCTGCCAAGTTAGAACTAAAGCTCTCTGGCAGGTTTCAGAGGCTATAAACAGCACAGGAAGAGATTGTCCATCTTTCTTTGGCAGAACAAATGCATTCAGAGAAGCTCTGGTGGCCTAGTGGTAAAGAAGCTGCACTGCAATCTTGAAGGCAAGCGGTTCGAGGCCACCAGCTGCTCTGAAAGGGAAGGTTAGGCAATATCCTCTTGTGTGATTAACTGCCTCTGAAAACCCACTGGAGAGTCAACTATAGGTCGGTTCCAACTCAATAGTACACAACAACAACAAGAACAATAACTTTTGGATTAGGAGTGCAATTGCTTAACCACTAGGCAACGACAGCTCTATAATTGGTGACTGGGATGCAAAAATTGGAAACAAAGTAGAAGAAATGGTAGTTAGAAATTATGGACTTGGCACAGAAATGAGGCTAAAGATGGAATAATCAAATTTTGTATAATCAATGATTTATTCACCGAAAACATACTTTTTTCAAGAAATACAAATGGTGATTATACATATGGACTTCACCTAATGGACTTCACAGGAATCAGATTGATTCTATCTGTGGATAGAATTTTCGGGCAAGTGTAATATCAGCAATCAAAACCAGGCCAGGTACTGACAGTGAATTCATGTTCAAGTTGAAGAAAATGAAAGCAAGTTCACAAGAACCAAATACAATCTTGAGTCTATTCCAGCAGATGAATTTAAAAATCATTTCAAAATAGGCTTGGGGCATTGAACACTACTGATTGAGGAACAGATTTTTTTTGTAGGATGACATAAAAATATATCATCCATGAAGAAACCAAAAGTCATTACAAAGACATTGGAGGATGAAAAGAACAAAACAGTTGTCAGAAGGTTCTCAGACAATTGCACGATTGCATCAGCACTGAGAAGCCAAAACAAAGAGCAGTGATTTTGAAATAAAAGAAAGGAACAGAAAATCCCATATAAGAAGACAAAGGAAAGTATTATAATGGAATATGCAAACAGCTGGAGATGGAGAATCAAAATGTAAGAACTTGCTTGGCATTTTTCAAGTTGAAAGAACTGAAAAAACAAAATCAAATTTAGTGTTTTAATACTGAGAGATGCTATGGGCAAAATTTTGTAACAATCCAGACAGAATCAAAGTAGGGAAATGACA